GGAGAGCTGTTCTGTCCAGAGCAGTGGTTCTAGGGACCTAGAGCTTACCTGCTAGCATCCCTCCACTTCAGCATTTCTGAACAGATTGAATATTAGTATCTTTACTGTCTAATGTCAGTCAAGAACATGAATATGTACTATTTTTCTCATACTTTTAGAATTTGTCAGCAGTTGCAGTTCTAAAATTCTAGCTTATAAATAAAAATCAGGTATTGGAACATTGAAAATGATTTGTGTAAATGTTTCTGGCGACTTTAACGGTCTGAGGAGCTTTCTTTACTAGTAAATCTAATGGAATGACTGATTTTGTAATATTAGCAGATATAATTTATATATTGGTAGGATAATGATAGTGATTTACTTAGTAACTACTGTCTAGAATGTTTCTTAACTATTTCCAAATTATATGTATTTTTGTATAAGTGGTATTTGCACTTTTAATATTCATGTGTTCTTGTATCTCTTTCATGTTGCACATCGTGATTCCTAATCAATACCATAAATTACTTATTTTCTTTATCTTGCAATATAAAGAATATAGTCTCAAAATAATAGTACAGTCATCCCTTGGAATCTATGGAGGATTGGTTCTGGGACCTCTTGGTTACCAAAATCTGAAGATGCTCAAGTCCCTTACTAAAATGGTGTAGGAGTTAAACATAAACCTGCATACATCCTCCCATATACTTTAAATCATCTCTGGGTTACTTATAATTCCTAATACAATATAAGTGCTATGTAAATAGTTGTTAGCATGTTTTGCTTTTTGGAACTTTGTAGAATTTTTTTTCCGAATATTTTTGATGTATGGTTGGTTGAATCTGTGGATGCAGAACCCCTGGATAAAGAGAGCCAACTGTACCAAAATTAATACAAACACTAAATCTCTAAACTTAGAATTTTTTAATAGTTCTTTAAAGATATATAAAATCATTTGAAAATAATTCAATTTCTGGGTGGTTATGTTACAATTTGATATATGGTTAGATTCCAGGCATGGTTTTTAAATGCATTACTTACATTTTTATTAACTTAATCCTCACAATTGCTCTGTGAAGTAGGTTCTGCTGTTACCCTATTTTACAGATGAATACAGTTTTTTCCATCTTGATTTTAGGTTAATTTATGTTAAGAAAATAGTACTCTTTTTGTTTGTTTCTTTATGGGTTTATGTAGAGCTAAGTAGTGGATAAGGCTGAAGGAAAGGAAAATTTAATTAAGAAACGGATTATCTGATGAGCTGTTTAAGGAGCAAAAAAGGATGACAGTTTCTGTAAATAACATTAGTAAGTAAGTGTATAATTCACTTTTGACCTTATTTTGGTTAACTGAGGTACACACATCCCCCCATATTTATGAACCATCAATAATGTCACTGAAATATGTGTGAATATATGTATAATGTTGAATTTTATTACACTGCTAAAGCATTTCAAGTCCAGGATTTACCACGAACAACTTTCCACAGCTATAATACCTTACATTAGAATTTTAAATCTTAATTGAAAGTTAGAAAATAATGTACTTGGAATCACAAAACCAGTTGTAATTTAAGTTGCTTCTGGCCAAAATATAATGTCTAAACTAATGGGTAGTAGTGGAAGTGAAAGTTAGCTAAATAACTCTTTTTTTCTGAACAGTTCTTTCAAAAGTTGAAATTGATTTTATGCAGTAGATTCTCATTAGTGAAACACTTGATTAGGTTCTTGATTACTAAGGAGTACCTTTTTGTGGATGGGCGTTACAATTATTAGAGCTTACAGAGGATACTTTTGAATAGAGTATCCTAATTTCTGGAATTTCTTTTCTCAGCTGTTCTGATAAAATCCATCTTAGTTGAGCTTATGCTATGATAACAACAACAAACAGCTTTGAATACTGGTCTCTTAAGTGAACCTTTTGGTTACCTTAAAATATTTTCAATATATTTTGATTCTCAAATTATTTTTAAAAATGCGCTTGATTTTATTTTCAGTTCATAAGATCTGAGTCTAAATGGAGACTGCATGTGTTACTATAAATTAAAATTGGAAATTATCATTTAGTTCTTAATGACAACTTTTATACTAGCTTATACCATAAGGATAAAATATTTGGATTATTGCTCCCTAATCTGTTGCATCAATCCAAACACGTAGAACCTTCATGCCACATACTTGCTTACTTTTCAGGGAACAGATGTTAACTAGGAATCTAGTTAACTAGATGGACCTTTTGGCGTTTATCTCTGTATTACAGTTAGAAATTGAGTTCTGTGTAGTGCCCCTGTTTGCCTGAGTGGGTCATTTGAAAGCTAATGCATTAAGCAGCTCATGCAGCTCAATGTCAAAAGAACAAACAACCCAATCCAGAAATGGGAAGAAGACCTAAATAGACATTTCTCCAAAGAAGATATACAGATTGCCAACAAACACATAAAAGGATGCTCAACATCACTAATCATTAGAGAAATGCAAATCAAAACTACAATGAGGTATCACCTCACACCAGTCAGAATGGCCACCATCAAAAAATCTACAAACAATAAATGCTGGAGAGGGTGTGGAGAATAGGGAACCCTCTTGCACTGTTGGTGGGAATGTAAACTGATACAGCCATTATGGGGAATGGTATGGAGGTTCCTTAAAAAACTAAAAATAGAACTACCATATGACCCAGCAATCTCACTACTGGGCATATACCCTGAGAAAACCATAATTCAAAAAGAGACATGTACCACAATGTTCATTGCAGCACCATTTACAATAGCCAGGACATGGAAGCAACCTAAGTGTCCATTGACAGATGAATGGATAAAGAAGATGTGGCACATATATACAATGGAATATTACTCAGCCATAAGAAAAACAAAATTGAGTTATTTGTAGTGAGGTGGATGGACCTAGAGTCTGTCATACAGAGTGAAGTAAGTCAGAAAGAAAAAGACAAATACCGTATGCTAACACATATGGAATCTAAAATAAAAAAGGTTCTGAAGAACCTAGGGGCAGGACAGGAACAAAGATGCAGACATAGAGAATGGACTTGAGGACATGGGGAGGGGGAAGGGTAAGCTGGGATGAAGTGAGAGAGTGGCATTGACATATATACACTGCCAAATGTAAAATAGATAGCTAATGGGAAGCAACCGCATAACACAGGGAGATCAGCTGGGTGCTTTGTGACCACCTAGAGGGGTGGGATAGGGAGGGTGAGAAGGAGACACAAGAGGGAGGGGATATGTGGATATATGTATATGTATAGCTGATTCACTTTGTTATACAGCAGCAACTAACACAACAATGTAAAGCAATTACACTCCCAAAAAGATGTTAAAAAAAAAAGTGAAAGGAAAAATAAAAGCAAAGGATCCTAATTCATCCAAAAAAAAAAGCTAATGCATTAATTATTGTTATTTTTTAAAACTCAGATTTATATAAAGATGGATATAATTTATCTGAGACAATTTGTATTTTTAAGTGGGAATCTAGGAAAAATCGGTTGACATGGTGCTGTCAACCTTTACCAAATACAAATACTACCTTATAACAAGATTGACACTTAAGATTTTCATTAGAATTACATTTTCAGTTTGTTTTTTGTTGAGTAATGATTTTATACCTAATTTTATCCTGTTTACTCTTAAAGGAAAAGCTATACATTATCTTTAATTTTTTCCATAGAACGAAGAACCATGAAACCATATGTTTCTTGAAGGTAGGGGATAATTATTAAATAGGAGCATAATGGTAGCAGGGAAGACTATAACTGAAACGTATCTGTATCTTCAGTAAGAGCTAGTGTTTGAAGTCATCACTGCTCTAGCACATTAAAATGAACATGTACCTGATTAATATGTATTGAGTTAAAGGTAAAGGCAGTCTTCATGTGAACCTGAAATAAAGTTCTGTTGAGGAGACTTTCTTCTGTTAGGAATAGTTTTTTGTTTTTCAATGACAGGTCCAATTTAAAAAGTATAACATGGGGGGCGGGTGGGAAGGGGAAGCTGGGAGGAGGTGAGAGAGTAGCATTGACATATATACATTACCAAATGTAACATAGATAGCTAGTGGGAAGCAGCTGCATAAGCACAGGGAGATCAGCTCGGTGGTTTGTGACCACCTAGAGGGGTGGGATAGGGAGGGTAGGAGGGAGATGGAAGAGGGAGGGGATATGGGGATATATGTATACGTATAAATGATTCACTTTGTTATACAGCAGAAATTAACACAACATTGTAAAGCAACTATACTCCAGTAAAGATGTAAAAAAAATAAATGAAATGGAAAAAAATTAAGTAAAATAAAATAATTTATTGCTATAAAAATAAAAAATATAACAGTTAATCAAAAATGTTACTGTACTACTTTGTACAATTATTTACATTAAAATCAGCATCATTGTTTATCAGTGGCCTGGCATACCTTTTTTTTTTTTTTTGTGGACATGTGTATGTGGTTGGTTTGTTGTAGGTGACAAATGGTTATTTTAAAGACTTATTGACTGATGAATGGGAATTGCATTGATGCTTTTTATCTGAAGTCTTACAGATTGTTAATCCACTGTGGTGGCCTCTACACCAAAATTCAAGCAATGTTAATGACAATGGCTAGTTAAGAAATGGTAGATTTTGATCAACTAATTATCCTTTACTAATATTAAAAAATGATGGTGGTGTTTTAGTGAGATAGAATAGTCTGATAGCTGATTTTTTATATATTAAAATATAGCTGTTGTTACAGCTGGAGATTTTAAAATGAAACCATTCAAATCATTTTCTTTTCCTTGTGTTTCTGATAATGCCAGAAGTTTCTGTTGACCTCATAGTTAGCACATTGTTTCTGTATTTACTTTGGTGCATTCATATATAATAATCTGATGAGTTTACAACTCTGTCCCCTGTAGTTCTACATGTATTAATAATCTCAAATGAATTTAAATAATTTTCTTATTCTGATAGAGAAGAAAAAGCTGGATCACTTACCAGTAACTGGAGTTCTCCTATTGGGTAATCTCCACAGATCCACATTCTTTGAAGTTATTGTGAATGCCTCGAGGACCAAGGGACCGTTGAAATTTCCAATTTCAGGAAGGTAAGCAAGCACACTGAAGCATGTCTCTAGCATCTCCCAAATCCCCTCCCCCCAACTTTCTTACATATGCGTCTGTACTGCATGCCCCCTCAGTTCCAGTGGATGCCCATCAGGAAGATTCTCATGCTGGACAGAAGGGCAAGAGAGGTGGATCTGTGAGGGAAAAGACCCAATAGGATAACTCAAGTTGCTGGTAAGTAATCTAGTTTTCACAGACTTAAGATTTTTTCCCCACATTTCTTCTCTTCAGGAGTTCATTTAATTACAAAGAGAGGAAGTTGTTTGGGATAGCCTCTTTTTGTAAGTTTGATGTGGATTATAGAATTTACTGTATGGATGATAAATACCTAGTGCTTAACGGGTACATGAATAAATGTGACATTAATTTTAAAGTATACATTTACATAATAGCTGTTTATAAAAATTATATATTTACTACCTTTTGATAAATAGTGCAATAGTTCTAAAGCAGTGTGAGGAAGCTATATGTTGAATTATTTTAATTCCTTTATTTGTGATGTTTGTTTTATTGAAGTAGATACTTGTACTGTAAAATTTCTGCTTATGTTAAATTCTTTTGGCACAGTACTAAACAGCAAGAATAGTTTTACTTCTTACTGACCTAGTTTTCAATGTACCTTTTAATTTCATTGAAGGTATATTTGGAAATAATTCAGGGTGTGTTGCAATTATACTTACCACTTCATTGTTCATAATGGATTTGCTTATTGATGTGAAGGGCTGACATAGTTGGTTCACTATGAGCTCTGTGATTCCTCATGTACCAACCCCATTTATTTATGTAAATGTTAGAATTGGACAGAGTTCCTTGCTTCCCATTTCTCTCTCACTCATTCTGCATTGTTACCAGGTTACCATTGTTAAAAGGCCACTTATAGCACATAAAGACCTGTAGTGGTGCCGTGCTCTTGCTGTTTATAAAATTTCATCCATTTGCTGGGTACTTAGGGCCTCCCGTAATCTAATCCCGTCCTATTTATCCAGCCTTAATTTCTTCAATTTGAAACTTTTGTTTTGGTCTTACCAGGATACTTCTCATATTTATGCTTTGGCTTGTGCTTTTCCATTTTCTTGAAATGACCCTCTTTTCATTCTTCTTCTCTATACTTTAAGGTTGAGGTCAGGTCCTACCCCTTACATAAATCCTTTTATGCTGGCATCTCTGTTATTTCTGCTTCTTCAGTGGAAAAATGAGATTGTTATGAGGATTGAATTAACTAATTCTTAGAATGTACTTAGAACAGTGCCTAGTGGCACATAGTAACTTCTCTTATTAGCTATTATTTGATTGTAGTTTGATCTTAAATATTTCTGTGATTGTAGGTATAATTCTTATCTGTATGACACAGTTTAGCTTTAAATATTAGCTTCAGGTTGTATTGATTGTTATTTCTTCTGACATAAAACTCTTAAGCTGACTTATATGGTCTTTGAGAGCAAGGATAGGATTTTATTGTGTTATCTTACTTCCTAACATTAGTGACTGAGATTAAATCGTGCCCATTGAAAAATTAGTTTTTATGTAGAATCACAAATATACTTGCCAGTTTTTTCATTTATAAAACGGGTTCATTTGGCTAATCAATCCTGTTTGTACTGTGTATTTTTTCTTAAGAACAACAACTTTTTTCCTTCAAAGCTGGTATAGTGAAATTATAATTGTTTAATACACTATAAACTTCCATTGCACATTAGAAAAGAATGTATAGCTTTGAGAGTGTTAATTCGATTGTATTCGCTTTAAGACTCTGTGTAGTAGTATACTTGATTTTTGAGGTTGGAATATCTTAGAAGATTATTGCTTGATTTTTTCAGAAATGCTTGGATTTAAGATACCTGTCTGATGAAGCAGTAAATGAAATCTGATTTCAGGGTCACTGAAGGAAGGAAATGCTTTTTGACAGATTGATTGTCACTTCTAAATAATCACCAGAGAACCACTTCAGGTCTAATTAGACAAGCCAAAATGAAGAACAGTTAGTCAGATGATTTAAGTGTTTGATTCGAATCTGCTGACTCTTCAGTCTCCTGGTGTTTTTAGTGTGATATGGTATGAGAATACCCTTGTTCTGTAGAGATGTGCGCTGAAATATTTAGAAGTGAAATATCATGATGAATTCAGAAGAATAATGTGTGGGTATCGGGATGTGGTGATATGTGTATGTAAAGAGAGAGAAAAGGAGAGAGAGAGCAGATCTAGAAAATTTTAACAGTTTAAAATCTAGGTGAAGGGTATGGTGGTATGCATTGTACTTTCAACTTTTCTGTGGCTCTGATATTTTTCAAACAAAAGTTGGGGAGAAAGTATTTTATAAAGAACTTTATTGTGCTTCAGTTTCTCTAATTCTAAAATGGCAATAATAGGACTTATTCTTTCCATGCCTTGATGCAGGTAGGCACAGTGAGATAACATTCAGTAGAACAGCATTCAAGAGAGCTCTTAAGAAGTATTTTTTTTTGACATTAAAGAAGAATTTTATAATGGAGAACTTTTCAAAGAACATTTCACCTAAAAGTATATTAGATTAAAGTATATCTGTTCCTTTTTCATTATTCAGAGCATATTCCATTATAATTGAATAAGAACAGTCAAGAAAAAAATATATGTAGATATATAAATTAACCAATTGAAATCTTGAAAATGAAAAATATACCTACTTATAAATAATCATTGGGCGACTTCCCTGGTGGTGTAGTGGTTAAGAATCTGCCTGCCAGTGCAGGGCACATGGGTTCGATCCCTAGTCTGGGAAGATCCCACATGCCACAGAGCAACTAAACCTGTGCACTGCAACTACTGAAGCCCACGCACCTAGAGCCCGTGCTCCACAGCAAGAGAAGCCACCGCAGTGAGAAGCCCGTGCACCACAACTAAGAGTAGTCCACGCTCGCCGCAACGAAAGAAAGCCCACGTGCAGCAACAAAGACCCAATGCAGCCAAACATAAATAAATAAAATAAATAAATTAAAAAAAAATCATTGGGCAAAATAGAAGATTAGATGTAGCTAAAGATAGAAGTTGTTAATTTCAAGATAAAACTGGCTAACTCTTCCAGGACTAGAACACAGGGAGATAAAGAGATGAAAAATAGAAAATAAAAACTAAGACACCTTAGAAATAGATTGAAAAGCTCCAGCGTATCTCTAATTAGAGTTTCAGAAGAGAGAATACAGAGAATGGTAGAGAAGCAATATCGAAGAAAAAATGACTAAGAATTTTCAAGGATTAAAAATAATAGTGGAAATTATGAAATAATTAGAACTGAATCACAACAAAAGCATTGTATCAGTACTTGAGGGATATAAGAAAAGTGGTGCTTAGGGGTAAACGTATAACCTTAAATGCATGTATTAGGTTGAAAGAAAATAAGTGACCCGGATATACAGCTCAAAAAACTAAAAAAAGTAAAAAGTAAAACCAAAGAAAGAAGGAAGGAAGAAATGAAAATAAAAGTAGAATTTGATGAAATAGAAAGTAATCAACAATAGAAATAGTAGCAATGTTCATTCAAATTGAAGCTGGTTCTTTTCAGTTGATTAAGTTCTGGAAGTACCAAGAAGCAGATGACACAAATAATAAAGTTATAAAATGGGATATAATTACAAATAGTAATTGTAATTTTTAAAACCATAAGAAATCACTATTAATTTATGTGTATATAAATTTTAAAAACCTGGTGAAATGGTCTGTTTTCTAGGGAAAAAATCATTCAAAAATTGTACAAGAAAAAGAAAATCCATAGGAACTAAAAACCACTAAGACATTGAAGCTATAGTAAATTTCCCCAAGAAGTTTTTTTAAATATCAACTTAATTGAGCTATAGTTCATAAACCATACCACCTATCCATTTAAAATGTACAATTTAATGGTTTTTAATATTTTTACAGAATTGTTCAATCATTACCACAGTCAATTTTAGAATATTTTCATCACCTCAGAAAGAAACCATGTACATATTAGCAGTCAGTCCCAATTCTCCACAAACCCTCAAGCCTTAGACAACCACTAATCTACTCTTTGTTTCTATAGATTTGCCAGTTCTACACATTTCACACAATGGAATCATACAGTTTATGGCCTTTTGTGGTTTACTTCTTTCATTTAGCATAATATTTTTAAGGTCCAGCCATGTTGTAGCATGTATCAATATACTTCATTTCCTTTTTATGGCCAAATAGTATTGCATTGTGTGGATATACCACATGAGTTGATGGATATTTGGATTTTTTTCCTATATTTTTCCTATTATGAACAGTCCTGGTACCAACATTTGTGTGAAAGATTTTGTGTGAACATGTGTTTTCATTTCTCTTGGGTGTATACCTAGGAAGAGAATTGCTGGGTTATATGGTAACTCTGTTTAACCTTTTGGGGGGCTAGCAGACTGTTTTCCAGAGCAGCTGTACCATTTTACTTTCCCACCAGCAATGTATGAAGGTTCTAGTTTTTCTACACCCTCACCAACATTTTCATTATCTCTCTTTTTGATTAAAGCCATCCTAAAATTGGTGTGAAGTAGTGTCAGAAGGATTAGATTTAATTGTGATTTTGTAATCATAATTTCGCATACACTTTTGGGGAACAGGTAATCCCAATTTTATACAAACTGACCCAGATAATAGAAAAAGAGGGAGAGCTGCCCTGTTGTTTATCAGCCAAATTTAGCCTTGAAACCTAAACTGAAAAGAATATGCAAGGGAAAATATATTACATTCAATCTCATTTATGAACAGAGATAAAAATTTTATTATTTTATTTTTTCTTGAAAAATTTTAATTAGGATAAGAATGTAAGGATAGTTCAATATTTGAAAATTATATCAATGTAATTTATATGGTAAGATTTAGGGAAAAAAATCTTGAAAGATTTGGTAAAAGTATATGATAAAACTCAGCACTCATTAATGTTTTTTAAAAAGGTAACCCTCAAACCATGAAGAGAAATGAACTTTTTTCTTCCAGTAAAGGCTGTCTTTCA